GTCGTCTGTGAGTCTTTGGAATGTTTGAGCAGCGTTCCTTAGACCGAAAGGCATTCGCAAAAATTCATAGAGTCCGAAGGGAGTTATGATAGCTGTTTTCGGTATGTCGTCAGTAGCCATAGGGATTTGGTTATACGCTTTAACCAAGCCGATTTTCGAAAAGACAGTTGTACCTTTCAAGGTAGCTGTCAAATCGTGAATGTGAGGCAACGGGAAACGATCGAGAATGACTTTTGCATTCAGTCGCCGATAGTCACCGGTTGGACGCCGATCGTTGCTGTCCATGTGCAACGGAGATGCATGTGGGCTATTTGAGGGTCGTATGATTCCTAAGTCTATCATGTGATCGAACTCGTTTTTCGCCAACCTTAGCTTTTCAGGAGATAGTCGTCGTGCTTTAGAGAATACAAGTGGTCCGGTAGTCGTGATGTGATGTGTAACGTTGCTGGTTACACACGGTAGTTTCAGTTGCGTTTGCTGAATCCCAGGATACTTATCGAGTAGTGGTTGATAAAATGGGTCTATCGTATGTTTAATTGTGACTGGGGATACTCTACAACCAGTAAAAGAAGTTACGCAAACGGATAAATTAGTGTTTCCGTCTACTAGCCTCCGTTTGCGAGTATCGATTATTAGATTATGGTGTTGTAGAAGGTCCATACCAATAATTGGCATAGAAACATCTGCAACAACGAAAATCCAGTGAATGGGTTTGGGTAAACCCACGTTAAGGTAAACGTACCCTTTGCCATACGTAGCGATAGGTTTTCCGTTTGCCGCCTGTAAGTTTAGGGTCGATTCGTGGAGTCGGTCGTTAGGATTTGCTGGGAGAACACTAACTTCTGCGCCAGTGTCGACGAGGTAGCGAACTCTCGTTGTCACATTTGTGAAACATAACAGACGGCTATGTTTGCCAGCTACGGTTGCCGTTAACGCGTACCGGCTTGGAAGTTTCCCGAGTTGTTTTTCGAGTCAGTCGGTTTCGTGTTAGGAAAATTGCAGGGTTTTCTGCAATTTCTGGAAAACTTTCCATACTGGTTATGATACCAGCACCAGTCGGGGTTATCTGTCTCTCGTGGTCTAGAGACAGATCGCTTACGTGAAATGCTTCTACGTGGGGAGCGCGATCTCTTACGGTCGTTGCGAATATTAAGATAACACGTGAGTGTATGGCATAACTCGGTTATGTCATTCTGAGTCGTTTGAGGCTTTTCTTTGACTGAAAATACCTCGGTAGTAGAAGATTTCGTAATTTCTAAAATACGATCGGCAGATGCAGCCAGTTCGTCTAAGGCGTTGTTTTGAAACGAAACCAGAACCGCTTGCACATGTTGGGGCAGTTTAGACAAGAAGAGTTGTTTGAATAGACCTTCGTCGAAAGTTCTTGGGCCTATAACCTCTCTCATTCTTTGCAATATGTCCGTCGCAGAACCGTGCTGCAGGTCTATGTTATTAAACAGCTGATCTAACCTTTGTCGATCGGTTAGGTCTCCTCGTTTGAGAATCGAACGTTTGAAGGCTTCGTAAGGTTCAGAAACACCACTAGTAAACATACTAGGTGTTACGTACCTGTTGGATTCGCGCGGTAGTGCCTTGAATACTGCGAGGAATTGTGCACGTGTGTCGTTCACACCGCGCTCGTGGAAGTCGGCTTCTGCGCAACAGAACCAGGCTTCGATATTGCCGGGCCAGAAAGGCATGAGTTGGAACGAGGGTGGGGACATGGTTTTAATCTTAAATAACTTAGGAGTCTGTTCAGTCATAGGGGGAATATTAGGTACGAGAATATGAGGGAAAAATATATATATCCTGAGATACGGGGAAAAAATATCACAATGTATAAAAATTAAAAATAATAAGGCAATAATATATAAAAATCTTTAAAAGGAACAGGCTCACAGTTGCAATTAGGTGTACCAGATCACGTCGGTCTCACCAATGAAAATGACGCAGGTATTCAGTGTTTGCCAACGCTTCTACCAGTAACACCATCTAATATGATTCGTTCCCACCCAGAGAAATCAAAAGACAGAGTCGAGAAGATCGGAAGAGTGTATTTGGCGATTACCAATATATCGGAATTCTCTGATCTAATCTGGCTAGCGATTGCGGTAGATGTTGAGCACAGCGTTACCACACGTGATCTGGTGCGGATGCCTGACCGAGCGCCTTGAGCTAGATGAGTCCACTAAAACATGTGGTCACCATCCAATGTCGAAAACTTACAGAGCTATTTATTTTAGGGATTGATTTACCGCTACAAAGCCTTTCGATTAGTTGACAGAAGCCATGAATTGCAAAACACAAAGCGTGTGGATAGGTTCCCAGCTTAATGAATGCAAATCTGAAGAACAAAGACCAATCATGAAACAAATGGTTTAATTTCTTTAATGGTATCTAATTCAATATGTAGATGAGATAGCAGATAACAGAAATTAACTGTGTCTTGCTTGTTGTTAATAATGCCGTTTTTATTCCAGTCTTTCTAGTTTTACCTAGTCGTTTAATATTTGCAAAAAAGTTTCAGTTTCAGTTTGGAAATGACAGGAGGCTTGATGGTCTGTGTTAGCTCTGGCAATAGAGGTCTCTCAGTTGATCCAACTTTTTTTGAAAGTGTCGACGGATGGAGCCTCAACCACGTGCTGGGGTAGTGAATTCCACTCGTTGATGATTCGATGGGAAAGTCAATAGTCAGCTGACGAGTAATTTGTTCTAGGCTTGTGAACTTTTTTGGAATGTCCTGTTTTGGAAGACAAGAAAAATGGGGGCATATCAGGTACAAATTTATGACTATACAATTAGAAAACTGTAATCAAGTCGCCTCTAGTTCTGCGATATGACAACGGGAACAGGTTTAGATTGGGCAGTCGACAATCATACGGAAGCTTCATTATTCCGGGAATCAGCTTAGTTGCTGTTCTCCGAACCTTTTCCAAAACCTCACTGTTTTTTTTGTAAGCATGGGTTAGCCGCTTGTATGCAGTACTCACGTTTAGGACGTAAGAACACTGTTTGCAAAATCAAAAACGTTTTGGCGTTGACATAAGTAAAAGCCCTACGCACTGACCATAAGGTTCTAAAACTTTTGGCGGCCATTGTACGGCAGTGTGCATTAGGCTTTAAGTCTTGGCTAACTATAACTCATTATGTGTCTGGACGACAGGTAGCTCAGTGTTATTTATCGTGTATGTTTCTGTGCCTTGATGACCTATATGGATCACAACACACTTGGAAGTATTTATCGGCAACTGCCAGGTTTGAGACCATTCAGATAATTTTTTCAGGTCATTTTAGAGTTTTAAGCTATCACCATTATATAGTGTCGTTCTCCGTATTTTGACATCGTCAGCAAATAGCAAGACTGATAATGATAGGAGACAAGGAAGGTCATTTACATACAAGAGGAATAGCACTGGCCCCAAAGCTGTATCCTGGGGCACTCCACGAAGCACAGTTTCCCAGCTAGATAACTTTCAGTTCACCCGTACTCTTTGTTGGCGCCCAACTAGGAGGTATTTTTTTCACATCAATAGATTGCCTTCAATTCCGACATTTCATAGCTTATATAACAGCCGGTTGTGTGGAAAGTTGTCGAAAGCTTTACTGAAACCAATGTTGGCTATGTCTACATGTAACTTTTGGTCCTTAAGACGTTCCAGCTTTCACTAGCGACTAATAAGTTAGTGAGACAGGAATAACCCATTCTGAAACCGAAAGGATCTGGCTTTCACTGGGGTACTTAAACAGCTCCTTCCGAATAATCTTTTCTAAGATTTTAACAACCACACTAGTTAGGCTAACGGGTCGGTAATTCTCAAGTTTATGTTTCGTACCCGTTTTGAAGACAGGACTTACTATGGCGTTCTTCCTGTCTTTTGGTAAAAGACCTTGCGTTATGGATAGATTGAAGCATATATTTTTAAGGGTTAACCTTCATTCTGTTCACTTTTTTACCGTTAATATACATAGGTTCCTGCCTGGAGGCATCGGTGATGTACTGTTACTAGATATGGAGGGCCGTTAAGCATTTGAATAGTTTGACTACACCTCTTTGTAAGCTACAGCTCCGTTGTACGACTTATTCAAAGAATTTAGAATCCGCAGTGGAATTCTAACCATTAGAACTGGTCCAGTTCTTCATATCTTTTATCATATCTCCTTTGTTAACGAATAGTTTGTTAATTTATGCACTTAAAAAAATTGAAGCGGAAGTTCTATTTTCATTTAGCTACGAATAGTACACCACAACCACAACCAAGACTGAAGACTGAAGTATAGAACAGTAACTTGTAGGTCACTCTTTCTGAAAGTAAAGTTCGATGTGTTTGTTTAAACATCTGTAACTGCTTGTGACTTTCAGAGGATTGCGCGTGCCTTCAAATTTTCTTCAACAGTGCGTCTGACCTTGGGTGAGTGTTCACTATTATGTATCTAACTTATATCATTCTGATTACTGGATGCGAAATTTTTTTAAACTCTCGACTTTTATGCGAAGAAAATACTGTCTCTTGTGGACAACCGAATGTTTACAGTTGTCATGAAAATTCAGCATGCATTAATTATCATTAAATCTTACTTTTTCGTTCAGTTGTCAGAATTTTGTGACATACATCAACATACATCGATCAGTTCCACGTGCATCATTCCCCATATGTAGTAAGGTGTGTTTATTCAAACTCTATTATCAGATAAGTGGTTAGCCGTCGTAAACTGAACTTTCTGATCCACTAGGTAGTTTGTGCATCACTTTTGTATCATGAGCACAGCGCATACTTTTAACGTTTGTTACCACTGTAGGCAGCCTTTACATCAGAGTAGCTCAGCAATGCATGTTACGATTTACTGGACACCATGCAAATTTGAATATGCATATTGATGCGTTTTCCGGGTTTAGGCTCATAGTAGTTTTCTTGTATTTTTTTCTTACAGACTTGTAACTCACGAGAGTTGCCACCATCACTCGCCAATCTATTATTTGATTTAAATAAATTTAATACAATATGCATGGGAGAGTTAAAATTATACAGACAGCTGAACAAGAACGAGCGAAAAAGCTAAAAAAGGAACAAATAAGTAAAGAATTCTCAGAAGAATGTGAAAAGCTCTGGTTGTGTCGTGAAAAAGATGACTTCAATGAAGTGCATTTGGAAGAAATTGGTTCCCTTATTGAGACATCTCCAGACACAGCAACCCTGTGGAATTATAGACGCGAAATAATAATGCATCTCATTCGGAATTTTTCTGAGGATCAAGAAAAGGTTTCAAAGTTATTTGAATCTGAATTGAACCTTACAACTCGCTGTTTATATAGCTCGCCGAAATCTTATACTGTTTGGTATCACCGATCTTGGGTTATGAACAATCACACTTCTCCGAATTGGGAATCTGAATTGAAGCTTTGTAACCAAGCCCTAACACAGGATGAAAGAAATTTCCACTGTTGGGATTACCGCCGCTTTGTCGTTTCCAAGGGTAGTATTTCAACGGAGTTAGAGCTGGAGTTTACAGACTCTGCCATAGAAAAAAATATGAGCAATTATTCAGCTTGGCACTATCGTGGTGAACTTTTAGCTTCTGCGTCTAACGCTTCTGTATCATCGTCCGAAAGTCTTAATCCTCAGACTCAGTTGAATAAAAAACAAAGCCAATCTCGGTTTGATTTTTCATTACCAAGTGGCGAACTGGATCTTGTTCACAATGCAATATTCACAGATCCCGCTGATCAGAGTCCTTGGTTCTATTATTGGTGGTTATTGGGTCGCGGAGAAAGAAAGGTTTATTTAAGGGAACTGTATATTTCACGGAAGCTGGGAAGATTTGTTCTTGTTTTCAGCTCTGTGAAATTGATGCAAACTTTAAAAGATTTGCAGGTTTCCATAAAAGTGTTTCCATGTGACGGTACAATTTCTAATTCTATAACTTTAACACCGGAGCTTCTTGGGGGATGGAACTCTGTCCTAGATGAGCAGTTATCAGCTGTTTGGTGGTTGCCGCTTAACCAAGATTTAGTATCTCGTTACGCTCCTGATAATGATAGGCACCTATATCAGTATCAACCATGGAATGTTGTAGCCCAAGTCTGGATTAGAAAAGCTAATGGCGATGGAAACCAGGAAATCTGTGTTAATATGCCTGAAGATTCTGCAAACTACTTGTCCCTTCAGTGTTGTATGGATTCTCATCAAAATGAATCACTGACACGCGTCACTCTAGACCCTCTAAGATTGTTAAATCCTATGATTTTGCCCTCACATGATCCAAAAGATTTGGTTGGGGAGCTGAATATTGTTCGTGACCTGCTGTCATTTGAACCGAAAAACAAATGGGCTTTGTTGACGCTTGTCAGCCTCCTTCGCTTTATTCGACCGCATAATTTTCATGAAGAGGTAAAAGAAGCGTTAAACGTGTTAGTGTCAGTTGATCCTCAGCGTTCTTTTTATTATGAGCACTTGCGATCCTTGTATGCAGCCCTAGATGTTCTGGCTCATGCATATGAAGACCAGTCCAGGGAAGTGGTGTTACATAATCTGGATATGAGTTGCTTTCGTAATCTTGATTGGTATGCGTTGATGACCAAAATCGATTTTTCTAATAACTCAATCGTACGAATCCCGGATACTTTCTCTTATTTAATCTCCGTTTTGGAACTGAATTTAGATGATAACCAGTTAACAACTCTTTGTGGGATTTCCCGTCTTCCGTCTCTAACCAACCTTTCTGTCCAACGCAATCGACTGTGTACTTTCGAATCGATTGAAGACTTAGTTTATTGCCCTAGTTTGCGCGTAGTGTACATAAATGGAAATGAAGTAATCAAGTTACCCCAGTTGAGTAATTTGATATCAAAACATCCAGGGTTTCAAAGACAGGGAGATTCATTTTCTTTGGTGTACGATAAAACATTTCACCATTAACATCACAATTTTGTACAAAATATTTAGATTTACTAGCATAATTTTGATATTTTTAACTCGTGATATTCTACAGTTTTTCATATGTAAATTTCCATATTTCTGCATTAAATATATACAACACTTTAATACCAAGAACCAAGTATGAAGTATATTTGCTTATTTCATTTAGATGGAGGTAAAATTATGTTTTTGGGTTCTGTGGGTTAGATTTTGCATCTTGCTTAGAAATTGGCATGTCTTTTAATATAGGTAACCACTCGTTAGTTATTAAATCCACTTTTTCAGCTATGAAGGAAAGTGGTCTAGTTAGTATTAGCTGAACGCTTATGTTCTAACGTCTAAAACATTTGTTCTTGAACATCCCGACCATATGCTCTTGCCTCGTTGCTCACCAGTCCCAGATTTGGAGCACAAAGTGGTTCACTCAATTACATAAGAATTACTCATTCACCGTCTGTACTCATCAAGTAACTGAATAGTTTCACAGAATCCACTTGAATAAAAAGTAGCTTAACTGGGGATGAGTCTCACTAAGTGTGACGGCTGATGATGCTACTTGGTTGCCCAAGCTGAAGAGGATTGAGTGAGTTTCGAACCTGTAACTTATTGGCTGAAAGTTGAACGCTTTCACTGCTAAGCCACCTCAATATATAATGACTACCTACTTTGGGCACTTTTGTCAAAACCTAATACTTCTATCTCGGCATTATGTTGACGAAATTAGTCCTCTTAACGTCTGATTCTGCTTTTCTAGTAGGATAGTATTTTGTTTAAAGGACCATAATCTCTCAATCACTATTTTCTGCTTGTCGTTTCTGATTTACTTTAATTCCTACAGATAAGGAGAATTCAAACACTTGTCACAGTCAGACATTTTGCTTTTGCGTATAATGGTTGACATTAAACTTTGGGTTATCATACCAAAAATGGTCAACCAAATCATCATCCCAAGACGATTTCCCTTTTATACGTAAATGGTTATTAAGAGTTAAACATGATTGTGTTCCCTTTTTCCCATTCATATGAGAGCAGTTCCCCCAATTGAGTTTTGACTCGTTCAAAAAGTCGAAAATCTGGAATAGCCATGACCCAGTTCCTTCACTTGAGTGATATAACTTAGGGTGGTTTTTCAGCGATTTACTTGTGTTCAAATGTATAAACTGAATTAGTGAGCTTTTTGGGATCATTTTTGGAATAAAACGTGAAAATCAAAGCTCTTTTAGTCTGTCATCGATTTCCGCGATTGATTTTGAGCGAAGTGTTAACGAGGTTTTTAAATATTCATTGGTTATACACGGGAATCTTTTAAAAAAATCAGTTGTACTGCTATTGGGCTAAACAGTTTCTTCTTTAGTATTTGAGTGTTTTATGAAGTTATTTTCCATATATCATTAACTACTATATTATTTACTTTATAAGGATCACAAGCCAATTTAAAACGCTTTTTGATAATGTGTGCCAGTTTATTTGGCACTTTGTAATTGTAAAGAAAATAAAGAAATAAATCCAATGAATACATTTTAGTGTTTTTAATACTGATGAATATCTCTCATGATCTTCAACAACTGTTTTTTGTTCAGGCTGATAGTAACTTAATCGACTTGTGAAGTGTATTAATGTGGTCATCTTTGTATTATTACAAACTACAACCAGCCTCGCATTAAGGTGGGTGGCGTGACCTTTCCCAGCCATCTTATTGGACGCTAGTTAGGAATCTCGACTAACAACCCTTTTGTGCCTGAAATTCGTTATGCAGCCTCATAGTTGCATGCCTGGTGGTTTAACTGCATTTAAAGTAGTTTGTAGGGATGGAATCCCCTTAGTTTACAATAATTTAACAACTGCTGACGGTCATTTACGGACAACGTACAGAAAGTTATGTAAACTAACTACCAAGATTCTGGCGAGCATCCATAAATGTGGTATGTGCCTTCCAACATTGAAGTGAAATTTACCACAACAAGTGCAAAGCTACGTGCTTGCACCCATTCTTGGTCTTGAATCATTGGAAATAGTGAATTCCATGCTGCTGTGTAGTTTTATAAGTATTAGTGTGTAAGACGGGTTCAGCCTGCCTGTAGTTGATAGAGGTTATTGTGATCTAGGCCACCTCCAGTGCTACCGATTATTCTAGCCAGAAATTTCGTTGTAGAATGCTGTAGTGATTGCAGTTACAAACGACTAACATCTCATTTCATGACTTGCCTGTGTGGATGCTGAAGATCATTAAAATTAGTGCTTCAAGGTTTTATTAGTTTTAGTTCACACTTAAAACCAGCGGTGATCTTGGTCTAGTTCTTCATAAACAGTTTGATGTCTCTCTGCTGAATGGGAGTCTACCTTGGTTTTGTCATTACTTAGACTATTTTTTGACTTCTCTTTTTTAATATTTTTAACAAATAGTTTCTATTTCTTTACACTGTAGTCACTTGGTTTTGTGTGGCATGTTTATTAGTATCTTATTTTACTGAGTATTGTCTGGCAGCGTGATCCAAAAATAAGGAAAAACACTTCTGCGGAGTACAAAGTGTAAGGTGCATTTGTGTGGAACCGGTTATTCTTAACCTTTTAAAATAAGGTAATTAGGAATATCCCCATCTCTTGCTTTTACAACCTAACGCATGACATTGAAATGCCTACACCTTAGAATGACATGAGATATGAATATATCTGAGCTATATTACCGAAGTTTTGTAATTATCAATATGTTTCTTTTACATATCACTCTTAAGAAATATATATTGCTTTGACAGACAGGCGATGGATAAAATGATTAGTTAACAGAGTAAAATGGAAGAGATAAAGCTTTGACATTCAAGTTAGGAAATTATTATGCCACAGTGTAGTGACAGTGATTAGAGTAATTAAATATCAACCGGCAATTCACAGTTTCGAACTCCGCTATCTTGGTGTAGGTTGCATACTTAACCTTCACACAGTATGGCTTTAAGTACGGAAACTTTTACGTGGCAAATGAGATACAAACTACAATTTCTCAATTATCTTTCATATCGTTATCAAGAAAATGAGTAAATGTTTTTATTTACCAACTATTTAGTTACTGAGATGAAAACATGGTATCTCTGGTTGCTGGTTTTTCTTCATTTATATATATATATATATATATATATATATATTAGACAGGGTTTTCCCTTTTAATATGTATCGGTTCAGGTTGTCACACCTTAGCACGTCATTAGGAAAGGTTAGTATAATATAATATAAATGACACAGATAAGGACAGAACAAGGATTGAACGAGATTATACCATTAAGGGGCAATTTTGATCCATGTCGCCTAATATGTTCAACCAAAGAATAGGATATATATACTGTATTTTTCAAATATTCGTTTCGGCGTTGAGGTAGAAAACAGTTTAAAATTGGATTGGCTCGAAATATATAAGTCCTATATTGTTTCGTATGTTTTATAAAGGAATACAGAATAATAAAATTAATTATCACAATCATGAAAAATAAACGTATTTTATATCTATAATCTAAATCTGTTAAGTTCATCTTTCGCAAACAAGACGTAATGTTGTGTGTTAAAGGAAGCCAGAAAATATTAAGAGTTCAGTCTGAGTTACAAATTAATGTGATGCATATTTGTAGAGTAAGTAGGAAAAAGCCTAAATATATTAAACGAAAACAATGAAGTAATCCTGTGTCAATAATTATTCAGTCTAAATTAATTCAGAATTCTGATCGCTAACTATTCTTGTTAGGTTCTGCACGACGACCGATTCTAATCTGTCTATTTCATCCACAGAGCGTTTTGTAAACTTAACGGAGTTATGAACTATGCACCATACGGGAGTATGTACGAGAAAATATTTTTCCGTCTCCTTGGGTGTTTGATCCGTCAGTGTTTTACAATCCGAAGTTAGGTCTGACCTATAATAATATTATGACATCGCAAATAACAGTAATTACTTCTATCAAACCCTGGTTACTGTTTTTTATGAAAGTATTTTTACATGCTTTCATTATCATTAAAAGAAAACCTATATATATATATATATATATATATATATATATATATATATATATATATATATATATATATATATATATATATATATATATATATATATGGAACGTTTTAATTACCCACATGATTATTAATTTACTGTATTCTAGGTGCATCTAAAATGAGTGGTGATCTGGAAGGTTGTTGTAGATATAGTACGAGCAAAGCTGGTATGGAAGGTTTAGATAAAGCCACAATTATGAATATTATATTGGAGAATTCCAAAGGTGAATTTTGTAGAATATATATATATATATATATATAACTGTTCACTTGACAATTTGCCAAAAGTTTTCAGCTTTCATTAAATGAAATTAAATTCTTGTAGATCATTAACCATGTACAGTTTTATGTACATGTTTTGAAGTTGCTTTTTGACGTGATGGTTAATTATACAACCTGACAGTCCCTAGTCAGAGTGTAAGATTTGAACCTGTTGGTTGAAGGTTGAATGCTTTCATCACCAAGCTGTTTAGTTTACATAAGTGCACTACTTGCTTGTAAGTATTCATTCTAGTATTATGATATCAATAATAACGAACTGAATATTTGGCATATTCAGTTCTTTAATTTTTTGGATTTCTTGTCTTATTCCACTTTAAAATTATTATTTATATACCTGTGACCAAATCATGCATATAAGTAACAAGTTTAAAATAAGAGGAAATGAACATACTTCATCTTTAAGATACTTCAAAATACCATCAACATAATATTGATACATAATATCATATCATTCATAAAAAAGTCCATAGGATGTCAAAGGATGTCTAATTCGGCTATATAGATCAATGAATAATTAAGCTAAAGTTCCCTGTAAATGTACTTATGAGTTCGTTCTTTTGTATTTAATGTAATTCAGTATATTTATAGCCTAGCTAACGAAAGTACTGATGACTCAATGAGAGATCATTTGCAACCTTTTGTCATTTCAAGCTGTCCTCTCAAATGTAGATTCATTTCATCTAGTGAATTTACATAGCAATATCTTGCGAACTACAGTGTAAATGGTTGGATTCTTGATATGATTGGTGTCTGCGATTAGTGACGTCATTAATTGGGGTTTTGATTTGTTGTGTAACGTGATCTATTAAGTCAAGAAGTAAGCTTCCAGTCATTAGAATAGGGGTTCAAACGCCACTCTACCTATCGTGGGAAATAATAGGGTTATTTTTTTAACGCAAGTCTCTGTAACCATAGTTAATTCAGTATCATAATACTATTAGTTAGGTCGCTTTTGTCAATAACCTTGCCATTACTAAATGGTCCCATTGAACCAAAATAATGCTTCAGTCAGTTAGCAACAACGTAGAACTTCATACATACGTGCATCAGTTCAAGTTGCCATACTACATTAGCACAAAGATACAACTCTTAATTCAAATCCCATAGTGGTAGAGGTAGTAAAAGTATAAGCAGTAATCGGAAAGATTAGGGTTTCAAGATGTTATTCAAGGAGTATAATCCAGTGAAATAAATTCGGGAAGAGAAGAAAAGGGAAATGAAGAATTCAGAAGATTAGAATTTGGGAGAACACAAAGAGTGGATGCACCTGCGCCATCACAAGAGATTTTGAGCCATGTAATTTAAGGTCTCTAACCATCGGTCTCTATCGTCTCGCGGATCCCAACCACGTGGTCTACACCTACCAACATGACTCAGTCCAGTTGTCAGTGACTTCATGGATTTGCTTGATGTTTTGGTCTTCCAACCTACTCTTACACCATGAAACATCACTTGTCGGGGCAGTCGGTGACTGGGCATATGTAACACATGTCCCAGCCATCTCAACTGATGAAGTAGTGAGACCTCATCAGTTGATTTGCCATCCTTACCTAATACTCGTTTCCTAACATCTATATTACTTACTCGGTGGTCCAAGGATATACGAGCAATGCTCCGAAGACACCTATAGTGCTTAAAAACTTTAGTAACCGTTATCTGTATTTTTAATATATCTTTTCCATTCAAAAGATGTTTTGCTACTCTATTACAGCACAAAAAGTAGTCTTGTACCATATACTTCGCTTATAATACAGATCTGGGTATATTTTAGGTATCATGGTTAGATCAAGCTTTCGAATAACTGTAAGGAACTTTATTTTTGAACTCACGTTCATTAATACAAAGGAATTAGTTTTACTAACAAATTTTCAATTATTTAAGGGTCAAAGTTTTATGAAAATGAACTGAGGCGGGAAAAAGCTCTTCGTCAACAAATTGAACAAAAGCTTAAAGTTATAAAATCACTTACACCGGCGATGTTAAAAAGTGGTGAATTAGAAGTGAGTACATTTTCTCCTCTCTTTCTCATCGTCTCTTATTGTCAATTAATTATTTCATATGAAATTTAAAATTTGGTTACGAAGTTAATTTAGTCAGGTTGTAAAGATACTCGAGTTCGGTAGTAGGAGATACAGGTGCGATGCATCTTAAATTATTTGAAGTTGACACTTCCTTATCCAATATTTTCCAGTACTTTCCTCTTGTTAATCACTAACACTTCTTTCCATTGCTTCCTTTTTTCATTACAGAGCTTTTATCTTGTCTACATAGTTAAATAATCTACTTATTCTGTACGACTTGGAACAAGATTTTTTCTCGAGTAGTATAGCATTTTGTTCAAGTTCTCTAATTAACTAAGTATATGTTCATCTGGATGAAAAACGTTTTGTTATTAATACTTTTACCCGGCATCTTGGTCCTTATTTTCAAGTTAAATGATAACAGTATTATTTTATTAGTTTTTTTTATTAGCTTAAGTTGAATTATGATCTCAACTCCTAAAATTATTCAATATTATATGTTAAGCATATTATGGAATTCTCAGCGCACAAGTCTCTTGGATATGTATAACATATTCATTAGAAAAAGAGATACTCAATTGTACTGGTCATTCATCTTTTATAATCAGTGAAGGGTTTTGTGGAGATTGTGGTAATTTAATAATTGAATTCATAAGTCACTTGAAGGTAGACCACCATAGACAACCTGGAAGCACTGGACGGACGTTTCATCCTAGTTTGGGACTCGTCAGCAGTGCGCATCCACGATCCCGCCCCGCTTTTGTAATACTGAGAAACTCAAATCAAAAGCTTTTTTCAATACTTTACTGGCGTTTTGATTAACAGTCAGAAATTAATATATATCTTCATGTATTCATAAATTTCTAAAATGTTTCATGCTTAAGAAAAAGCTTTGAAATTGCGTGGATATAATAATTGATTATTGTTTATTTCACTTTCGAATGATGTACATTGTGTTCCTGATTGTACGATTTCCTAACAGTTATATCAGTGAGACTATAATTTGTGGACGAAGTTTGAGCGACGATTAAGTGACTTTTAGAATGTGACCTACTAACTAGGACCAAAGGAGGGTTGTAAACCAGTGTGAGGAATTAGAATTATGATTTAACGTTGATGGTTAGGGTTAGGATTTAGATTTAATGTTTTCATCACGAACTGACATCAGCTAAAATGCCAAAACGCTATTTAGCCAAACGGTTGGATGAATTTCGCTCCGAAATCCAAGACTTGTTATCCCAAATCTGATTGATTCGTCCATAAATTATAGTCTCGCCGTTATACCTTGTAAAATTTTAGATGTTCCCCACTGATTCAGCTTTTAATCTAATTGGTTTTACTTTGCAAATTATCTATTCATATTAAATTTGGTCGTTCCATCAACTAATTTTTCTCGCATTCTAGGCAGATCACATACTGAAAGATTTAGGGCAGAAACGACGTTTTTCTCGAATCATTGTGCATGTGGATATGGATGCATTTTATGCAGCTGTTGAAATACGTGATCAACCCGAACTTAGACATCATCCAGTTGCTGTCGGTAGTAACAGTATGCTAGTACGTTTTAGAAAAGATTATTTATCCTATACTGTATGGTAAACTGGACAAATACCTAGTTTATCAGTAATAAAAGTAATAAAGAATTTACTATTTTATTAATTTATTTATTTAAACACATAAACATTGGTACAAGGAGGCACCAAAAAGATATGCGCTACATAAATCATTCAATTTATGTGAGGGCTGGGATACTGCCCGGGTGCCCAAACCGAAGCATGTGGTTTTATTGGGGGGCCACACCCCGAGCCTTTGATCTAGAGGTGTGCTCCACAAGGCAGTGGAGCAACGTAAGGAGATGTGGTTCCATAGTAACCGGTGACCAACAATAGGTTCATATGCCATTTGTTCCCTCAGGATCCTGGAGCTCATGTCCACCATTGATTTGGAATGAGGGTTTTCCAACTCCTCTAGGTGGACTCTCCGTATCCACCAACCTAGTTAAAGCGCCGGACATTCGCTTTTCATCCTCTCAATTTCATAAGCAACACTCCTGCCACGAGAAGGCAGTGAATAGGACTTACCTGACAGAGGCTATATGCGCGTGATCATGTGAGAGCATATATATATATATATATATATATATATATATAATATTCAATACCACTTCATTTTCACTGAATTTCACAATTGGTCGATCACTGGATAGTGACCAACGTCATGTATAACAACTCTTTCTTAGTGCTAATCGAATCCTATCGATTAATTTGCAATGTGGCTTATGCCGCAGCCCGAATAGATCATTGATAACGTTTTGGATTGTGAAACTGTGTTCTATGGGAGCAGCAGTACACCTTGCTGACGAGTTTCAAATAGCATGAAACGCGGGTCCAGGTTTTCTTGTCAACTATCTCTATCAATATTTTATATCTCATTGACTTTCACTTGAATAAGTTGGTCTTTGATAACTTTGTAAAAGTCCTCTGTTCTACCGTAAACTGCTGCATATAAAAGTCGCCGATAAATATGATTGTACAACTTCGGAAAATGATATCGTCAAGAAGAAACTTTTTTTCTTTGAAACGTTCTAATTATTTTCAAGTGATATAGAATAAGTGTACAGTAATGATTACTTCTCATTATGTTTTGCTTTAGTCTACAAGCAATTATATCGCTCGACGATTTGGCGTACGTGCTGGTCTACCTGGATTCTTAGGCAAAAAACTTTGTCCTCAACTGAAAATTATACCGTGTGATTTTGTAAAGTATACTGCAGCTAGTCGTGTAGTACGATCTATTTTAATGGAATACAGTGTTTCTGCTGGGAGTGCACGAAATTCCTGTGAATCAGATAATATTCCATTTTCGGCGGTCAGTTTAGATGAAGCGTATCTAGATATAACAGATCATTTGGTAGACCGTTCTGATTTTCCTGTTGAACGACGTACATTTTGGCCTAGACCAGCACCTGGAGCACCTATGTTGGTTTGTCGGTAATTTTTTTAAAATTCAGTGTTTACAATTTTACATATCGTATGTATTTATTTATAAATATTTGTATTGGTCATTATGTCCATCTGGTAACAATGTTAGCAACCAAATAGACAGAGAGATCTAAAAAATATTAGGCGGTTAGGTTTAGCCTGATAGAAAAATTTGTACTTAGATTTCGTGCTCTGTAGGACCTAGCACATATTTATGTCTGCTCAAGCGATTACTCTTCACGAATAAAAAGTGAATACATCTACGCCATTGTGCCCAATTATGAGATATCTCGTTCAAAATCTCCACTAATGTTTGTTTTTGATTACAGTTATAATATTCCCAATATTAGATATTAAATAAATTCAGAGTACTAAATACTTCACAAATATTAAGAATATAAGCAAAGACGGATGGTGGCTAGCAACGGAATCCAGTACGTGCGTTTCATCTTATGTGGGACTCGTCAGCTGAATGTACTTGCATTTCGGCATTGATGTTCACCTCGGGACCCGGACCCAGTACCTTTTGCTTCAAACGCCATCGCGTTAAGAGAGTGATCAATTGCAGTCCCAAACATCAATGAAAGATTCACTTAGCTACTCAGTCCTGATAGTCACAAGCTTGTGCAATAGGGTGAAGCGTAAGTTCATTTGGTATTGTTTGTTTGAATCTTCCATTGGTGTTTCGGACTGCAATTGATCACTCTCTTAACGCGATGGCGTTTGAAGCAGAAGGTACTGGGTTCGAGTCCCGAACTGAACATCAATTCCAGGATGCAGGTACATCCAGCTGACGAGTCCCATATAAGATGAAATGCACGTTCTGATTTTGATTGTTAATCATATTATCAAGGAGAGGAGTTGAACAAATTCTCGATTGTCATTAATATCTTCAATCGAGCAATAGATCAATTAAGTTACTCATCCAAATATATTTTGACGCATCTTTAATTCCAATTTCATTTTCACCTTTGATATATTTTTCTTCACACTTACTTTCCATCATGAATGATATGTTTGTTTGATTTAAATCAACCTTATTTTGAAAAAATTCCTTTCATGGTCATTGGCTAGTTTATTCACTTTTTGTAACGGTTGACAATTATCACTTTGTAATTAGTTAACTGAATCTTTTTTTTTCATATTCCTTTTGGGAATTTTAAACCAGAAAGATACGGAAAAATTTGTAAAATATGGTGAATTAGTGCTTATATAGGGTTTTTCATTGGGTATAAATGGCTTTAAATCACAATGAGTTATATAATTGTACATTAAAAAAAACTAATGTGGTTGTTGTAGCTGAAGCAAAACAAATCAGATGAACAAAATACAAAGTCTGAGATAGATGTTTCGCTAATTATTCTAACATTTCCCAATTCCAATCAAGTCATAATGTATCAGTCTTGAAAACGCAAGTTTTTTCTTAGTCAATAGTATTAACCTTTATTATTTGCTGAATTTGTGGGGTTCTAATTAAAAGTTTAGATTTCCCACCGATTACTTCTAATTTTCAAACGTTAATCCACTTATCGAGAAGTAGAATAGTGGCTCAGTGTTTAAATCGTTTAACTTTCAGTCACCCTATCTATTTCGGTTTGAGCTATGGGGAATTACCAAAACTCTCACATTTAAAGTGTGTCCTTAAGTCAATTAAATTATTCTATACCTGCTGTATGTGTTAATAAAAAACGACGTGTAAATAACAAGGTGGTATCATTTCCTTTATAGTGTAATTTAATACACGAATCTATGCTTAGTTGCAGAATAGAAGTGTGTGTTGTGTTGTTGACTCACTATCTGGTCGATAAAGAATAGACTTTAGGCTGTAGAATCGCTCTGTAAGTGTAATGAAAAAAGAACTATGCAGATATTTATTGTCATTGATTAAAATCATATCAAATTTCAACTACCTTTTCTATTTTTAGTCGAGAATGCACGAATTATTATAACTTGTACCATGTTCTTGTGTTTAAAACCACTGTTCAACTTAAAAGTAGTCCCACTTATAAATTCTTGTGATGCATCGCGTAACACAATGTCTACGTAATCATCGAGAGTGACCTGTTGCGTAATTAAGTAAGAAGTCAAGACAGTTCAACGAAGAAAATTTTCATTATTACGATATCGTTCACAAAGTCTGCAATCGCATTTTCAGTGACTTAGTAGATTCAATAGTATATTAAAAAATCGGAAGTAGTTACTTCAAATTTTACGGAAGTTTCAATTGTTATAAACTAGTTGATAATCGTCCACCTAAACAGAAAAGAAATAAGTTAAGACGTCATGGTGATAATAAAAATGACAAGGGCATCGGAAGAAAACATCAACAACAAGTTTTCATAATTTGAAAGATTAAAAGCTGTAGATCTGTGGTAGAATACAAATTTGAATGTGCTCTGTTTTTATACAAAGTTCTAGTTAGAACTGATAAATTGCAAATGCAATCAAGTCCAATCGTTTGACTGTCTAGATGATTTTGTAGGATATTCTTGATAACAATATGATCAGAATTCACGAGCGTTTCCAATATATTGAGCCATTGGATTCTTTGCATTTTGTTGATAGTCATGCATAATAGTGCTCGGAAATGTATTTATAAGGTGCTCTGTTTTTACAGCTGATTCAACCCGATTCACGGAAGTAAATAAACTTATATATGCACATTAATGTGGTCCGAAGCAGAAAATTATCCTGTGCACATCAACGAAAGATAATATGAGGTTAGATCGAACAAAACTTAACACTAGATCACGAATATGACAGGTTTTTAAATTGTTCCTTCTTACGTCAAGTCATTTTGTTATGTGTTTTACTTTGTAAATTATTCAGATTTCATTCCATCTGTTAACAATTTACCAAGTGAATATAATGAATAAAACGATCTCTTCTTACTGTCTTGTTTTAAAAAAAATTTTATGAAATAAATTTCAATAAATTTTGTTATAAATCTATGGCCTAACTGTTGAAACACTCAATTTTCAAAAGGTTAGACGATTGAACTCTGATTTATTCACTCCATACATCCTGCTTCTTTGATAAATTTAAATGAAGCGGGAGGATTGTGAATTATTACAAATCTTATTCTTCTCGATCCATTTAATTCAATTTTTTCAATCCATATAAAGTCACTAGCCTTTAAAATCAAACACGTGAAACTTGCAGTAAAATAAGTAAACCACATTAAAGTGATTTTTATAATAAAAGCAATTGAATAATATTAATAGTTGGATTCATGAGTCGATTTAAGCTAGATCACCACTGAAAATGTGGAAGAACTGCACTGACGTTTTGTCCTTGAATGGGACTCCTCACCAGTGCTCATCCACGATCTCTCACGCAAACGCTTAGCCTCTAGACCAATGAGCCGGCATGCGACGATGTTAATGTCTAACTTCAATCAATTCTGAATTTCTAGTGAGGAGCCCTGACCAGTGGAGTTTAACTGTGTCTGTTGTGAGACAGTTACTCACTGGAGACGGTGAACGGTCGCACAATATCGTGGTCTGAAGGTTAAACGTTTGCGCACACGACCGAAGGCTCCGGGTTTGAGTCCCGCGTGTGGGATCGTGGATGAGCACTGGTGAGTAGTCCCATACTAGGTCGAAACGATCGTCCAGTTCTTCCACGTTTTCAATGGTGGTCTGGCTCAAATCGACTCATGATTTCAACTATTAAAATTACTACAATCTCCACAAACCCCCATTCTAAATAACATTATACAATACTGAATATCGTCGTTTATGATGAACTTTTGTTACTCTGTAGGGAATGAAATCGTAATAACTTCTTTATATCTGTTATAATAATGAACTATATGCTTGTTCAATTATAAAATTATTCGATTCGATTTAACTAATAGTAGACTTTCAGAATTGACGTTATATTCTTCCTCTACATTTTTTCTTACTATTAATATTGTACGAAAGAGTGTTATAATGTGGTTTTTTGTTTCCACTTACTACACAATAGTCATTGTGAATAATTAATATGGAAATTTTCTAAGGCGATCAGAGAATAATTATATTAGAACGAATAAAATTAGGAAATTTTAAGATGGAATATATTCGAATACGATAAATCAAATAAGGTTTAGATGAACACTTTTAAGGAGTCTCGTACTAGGAAGGAACTAATGACCGGTGTTTACTGGTCTTTATTTTGGTGGAGTTTTGTTCTCTGTGTTGAATGGTTTAATCATGGAGCTTATCATGTTATTCTGAACGACATCAGCAGCGGAATAACGATGAAAGCTCCGCGACCAGACCATCCAGCTCAGAGAACGAAACTCCACAAAAATTATCCACCTGAGCTACAAATCTTCTCCAATCAGGTAAGTATGGAGCTCCTAATTAACCTCATTTGTCGCTTACCCAACCAGGTAGATTTATTATTATCGTTATTATGACCATTGTTGTTGTATTATCACAAACATTCCTTTTAGTAGACTATTTATATCAAATATTCATCGTTACTTTTATGATATACCATTCAAAACTATCGTTAACTATGGATTATTCCCCATTTTCTTCTATTCACTTTAGTTGTCGGTCACGTTCTAAACATCCACAATCTCATTTGAGTAGTAGCTGCACTGATGACCAATCCGAAATTCTTATAGATGATAATTCTGAGAGTAATTCTAATTCTTGTCAAGAAGCAGATAAATCATCTGATAAGCTATCTGTACGTATAATAAAACCGAAATACTCTGATCCTGAACTAGATGTATGCACTGAATGTGGATTACTTTGTAAATCTGGTCGTCGAATATTTGGTTTATCAGCTTGGGAAGCTGTTCGAGAAATGCGATTTCGTGTTTTTTGTGCTACACGTCTTACTTGTAGTGCTGGTGAGTTAATATTCTTATTTACTAGTTCTTTATGTAGTTCAGTTTTTATTGTTAGTTATTTGATTAGATAAATCTTCAACGAATATGGTTCAATTTGATCACACCCGACTATGATTGATCATGTAATCTTATTTTGGAATCATAGTCGCATGATTTTGTTTATGTTTTAAAAATAAAACTAACCATCTGTACTTAATAACATTGGATATAACTAATCTTGTCATATTATTAATTAAGGTCTTGGTCCGAATACATTGATTGCGAAAATCGCCTCCGATTGGATAAAACCATGTGGGCAACATGAAATCGCTAATACATTAGAAGCTGTCGATAAATTTATGCAAACTATGCCTGTGAGAAAAGTAAGTCTCGTTGCATCGATTTGTTTTTCATTTCGATTTGTACACACCTCACTTCACTTCAGCTGACTCCTAGCTTGTGTATACAATGTTGAATTACTTTTACCAATTAAAATATAGCTTCCAAACTTTAAAAAAGTGGCGGTGAGTATCAAAAAACATTTTAAAAAATCATAATGATAACGATAATAATAGTAATATTAGAGTTGTGATTTGTGAAGTTCGTAGAATATTCATTGTTTAGATCACACAATGGCTAGAATAACACTGAAAACCTGATAGCACCGGACAGCACTTTTGTTCTAGTATGGGACTCCTTAGAAGTGGGAATCCACGAGTGAGACGGTTATCCACCACAGACAATAGATAAGGGTTAAGCAATATCATGGACTGGCTGAAGCTAGATGCTGATACCGATGAATAGTGGCTCAGTGGTCTGGAGGTCAAGCGTTTGTGCACGAGACTTACGGTCCTGGGTTCGATTCCTGGATGCCTGGTCATGGATCCACACTGATAGAGAGTTCCATACTAAAACGAAATGGTCGTCCAGTGATTCTAGATTTGCAATGGTGGTCTGTTTAAAATCATTTCGTCGTTCTAACTTTGAGAACAATAATTATGATAATAATAATAATAATAATAATAATAATAATAATAACAGTAATAATAATAATAGGATATGAAATGAGAAAATGTATTAACTATAATGGTTAGATTGATGAGAGGTTCAGTTTTAAAATGACAGAACTAGTTCTAACAACAATAAAACTTGACTAAAAATGAATGGTTAAAGTGTAATTGTGTTTAAATTAAAGTTTGTAGACTATACGAAGTATGCTTGTAAAGGTTAGGCGTCAATAAGGAAAACTTTAAATATCTGGAAAAAGGAGAGAGCGAGGATGAAGGGAAAGATGAATGGCAATGAATCAGTCATCGTGCCAGTGGCAGACGAATCAAGAGTTAATTTTGTATACCTAGGTTTGGATCGAAAGAAATCGAGCCACATATACAGTCTTTAAGTATCAGTTACTTGTCCACTTTACCAAACATTAACTAATCAAGTCACTCTGTTAGACTGCTTGTTTAAAAAACAACATTTCGTAAATTTGATATTCAATATCAGTTTTCTACCGTTATAGGTTCCAGGGATTGGACATGTTACAGAACGTCGACTAGATGCTTTTGGAATTAAAACGTGTGCTGATTTAATTGATAAACGTGGTTTACTCTGGCATGTAAGCACTAAAATATCAATGGTTTACTACATGCGTATTGCATTAGGACATTCTGATGATCGTTGGTTAATTAATGTAAAAAATCATTTTGATGAGAAGTCAAATAAACCTTTTGGATTTATTGATAATGATTCAGAAAATATTGTTCCTTCTGCACAAGGTCAAGTAGAATTGAATAGAAAGAGTATGAGTGTAGAAAGGTTAGTTTGGATAATAAGTTCTTTATAGAACGTTTGTTAGCTTGTAGTTTATCTGCTTACACTTCTTTGCAAATATAGATAGTTTGATTAGATTATGCAAATATTCATCTCTCATTCTCACATTATCATTATTTTAAATACTTAATATTACCAGACTTGTAACATTCATTGGTTTATTAATCTGAACTAATCATTTCTATGATTTGTTAGTGTGAAGTTATGCTTGAAGCGTATTATCAGTTGACTTACAATTAATAAATCGTAAGTGTCATTACCAAGGTTTGATTTGATAATTTCGAATAAATTGAGCATTGGGTTGATTGTTATAAATAAAAATAATATATTTGTAATATCCCAATGAGCAGAAAATTGGATTTTCTGACGTTTCGTGACTTAGTGTAAGTCACTTCTTCACTTGTTTAGACCTGTTTTTGATTGATCCAATATTATTATTGCATTGTTCCGTTGTACTATTTAAACTTGGATTAATTTTAATTTGGCTATTTATTCTCTGAAGAAGTGACTTACACTAAGTCACGAAACGTCAGAAAATCCAATTTTCTACTCATTGGGATATTACAAATATATTATTTTTATTTATAATAAATCGTAAGTTTGAACACAGTTATATCTTTGTCATTTTTGGAACCTGATTTATATAACCTAAGATAGCCATTTTAAATATAACTAAAAAGTCTACTACCTAATTCGTATTTAGTTCATAAGTTAAATCGTTTGTATTTATTCTTAGTAAAATGTATTTAGAGCAACTATTTTCCTGGAAGTGTTTATGAGAAATATGTGAACCTATTGATTTATTAGTATATTCGGTTTAATCAATGCACTTCTATTCTAATACGAAGTTGTTTGTAAGCTTTGGTGAATATGATTACGCATAATATAATAACAATAATAAATAAATAAAATCTATTTAACCAGAGTGGATCAGTGAGCAAAGTATGTATGAACCGTGCTGTGTATAACAATCATTTTCTTTTTCAGCTAAAAATAAGATTTCTAGCCTTGTTAGCTGACTCCATTTGATGATGATATTGATGAAGTATTTCTCCATAAGTAGTACAGTATTATTCTGCACTGTTCTTGGAATGCCTAAGTTATTCCATAGCAAGCTTAGTCGTTAATTTAAAATTTCCTTGTTTATCCTCTGATTGTCAAAGTATTTTCTAGTTTATTCTTTTTGTACCCAGTTAAGTTGTTGTTTTAACTCTGAGTTGTATTCTTATTGACAAGATTTTACTACTGATATAGTTTCTGTACATCAATTACCCGTAATATTCCACTTGAAAACAGTCATGGTAATATGGTGAATTATGTTTGTTTTTTAACTTCCAGTGTCATAAATTGTGTTTATCAATCACATTATCGTTGTTACTTACTATGATTATTGGTGTTTACGTTTCTAGAACATTTTCAGATACATCCGATGAAAGTGAATTAATGCATCGTTGTGAACAACTTGCTCAAATGTTATCAACTGATTTAAAAGAGGAACATGTCAAGGTAAGAAAATGTGTAATAATGAAGTTACATTTTACGTAGTATTACTGTTTAAAAAATTACTTAATATTGTATTTGTGTAACAAAATTTTATGATTCGTATATTCAATGTGAATACTGAACTAAGTCATTTGACATCATGGCGGATTAGACAATGTGACTTCGAATAAAATTTCATCATAGAACTGTTACTGACACTTTGAATACCTCACTCATACATATAGGTCTATGGATATCCAAGTTTAGAAACTCCCTTTGTGAAGATTGTTGTAACGTGTGGACTGCAGGTTAGATGCGCAGCATATTTATCGATCGAATCAGTGACACGTAAAACACGTAAGGACGACCTAGAGTCCCGCTTCCCTGTCTAGCCCAGCCAGTTGAGTCTAGAACGCAAGTCACAGCCTCTGAGTTATGAATCATTATATTTCAGACATACTCTATTTATATACTAACCAAACAAACCACATCGTACCATAAAAATAGAAAACAACATCTGTACAATATTTAACGAGTGAAATAAATAACTGCCAATAGGAAATGTTCATCATTAGACTTAACATGATAATGATTGGCACATTATTCCTCAGCATCCATAACAAAGATAATATTGATAGATTTTTTCCTCTTCATATAAATGTAGATTCAATTATCTTTTATATTTGTTTATAATCGGGAACGTAATGTGCACTTATGGAATCGCCTTTTTTGGTTACCTCCTTCAAACGGAATTAGACATTTTGTGAGACAGATCAATTGCGTATAGATTTATCAAAATCATATTATGAAGACTACATTTCAGGGTGATATAATTATCTTAATATGTCTCGGTTACTGGATGAAATCTGAAATTATGTCAAATTAATGCAGTATGTCATTTTATAATACTTTTGACGTTGTCAAGGCTAAGTGGAGGGGACGCGTAAAAGCCTCAGTACTCAAGTCGACGTGTGTTTCAAATGAAATTTATTAATCCAGCTCATATATTGCAAAAAGGTACAAAGATGCAGTACAATAAATACACACATATATTATAACAATGACGACTATTTATGGGACTTTCAAGAAATTTTACTCAATATACAACAATGGTTCAAAATAGCCTAGAATCACTAACGAGCGCTAATCAGTAATTAAGACAAACAATTAAAGCAAGATATTAACAGTATATCTAGATGAAATACGTTATCAAATGATTTAAATCTCATTTCCTTGACATAGACGTTCATAAAGAAGTAGAGCATTCATTCATAAACAAGTCTCAAATATACAGTTGGAGAGGTAAGAATAAAATGCGGAATTGATGAATTATTAAGGTAAAAGGACGAATCAAATATATAAATAGGAAAGGGAAGTGATAATGCAGTATCACAGGATTTTAATCATGTATGATTAGTCGGTCGGAATTATATCCTGTCTTCTTCTATATTCGGAAACTATTTGTTGGATGTTGTTTCAGGGTATTATTCACCTAAAATTGACGCTTACAATTATTTTAATGTAGTTAACAGTTTATAGATTTTGAGACTGAACAATGTGACTCCTTTTGGATTACTCGGATCAGTTTACTGTGATTGATTTACACATCATACAAAATAATTAGACAAGAAGAGAGAGATTTTGAACTAAGTATTAATTAAGGAATTAGATGTTATCCTTTTTAACTTATATATTGAACATATACTGACAACTCAATAATTACACAATTGTGAAATGCTTTGAGCCATTTTAACTAACTATCTGCAATCGCTCATCTGTTGACCTTCAACAAACGCTCTGTAGAAAACATGGTCTCCTTCACAGGTCTTTGGCTTCATAAATTGATATTTTCTTTGTCTGGTTACTCTTTTCAGAATTTATTCTTATTCTAACCCTAGACTTTTCACTAATCAAGTGTTGCATAAAAACATATATATATATATATATATATATATATATATATATATATATATATATATATTGGCTTGGTTGAATTTCTGAACTATTTACCTTATAGCTTTGTAGATTTTACTGAAATCGTTCCTGTTTCCGATTTTTTAAATCTGATTCTCTTTGTCAACCGTTTGATATTCTTAAGTGCTCTTATAAAAAGTCTTAAACCTATCTTGAAGATATTCACTATTACATTGAAACTGAACATTCACGGTAATCAGGCTTTTTGTCCTCCTATACTTTTTGAAAAAGCGAGTAGTGGTATTTTACCAAAGACGTGTATATTATGGGTTTAAAAAAATGTCAGAAGGGTCGGTCAATCACAACGTAAGAGGTCAAAGGAAAAATACATTTTATCTAACTGTAAAATAAATAAAGACAAAATTTATGAAGACTGGCGATTAATAACAAAATTGTCAGGACGAACTGATATAATACTTGTAGAATAACTAAAATACTCACTTTTGCATACAGTAAGCATTGATGATATTATGAAATGATAATGAAATCTTTAGCTATATAGCTCAGACAACAATCCAAAGCATTCATTTGAGCTGCCAGTTTTCCTCATCATTGTATAGATCAATCTGTTAAACTATTTGAGTTGAAACACTTAACTGTTTTGAGTATTGAAATGCACATTACACACTCTTTATTTGTCTCTAACTAGTTAAGATTTACAAATTATTGTATTTATAATCGAAGAAAATTTAATATTCTATTTGTAAACTAATTGTAATTATTTGTGATAGATTCAATTTCTTTGGTTAACAGGTAAATTAAAATAGAAACAACTTTATCTCTAGTTGCTTACAACTCGGGTTAATATTGAAATTTTTAAATACACATATCAAAATACTTTTGTAGAAAATTTAGATGAAAATGTATTGGTTTAGTGATTGTTAACAATGAAATGAGGTTAGCAAGATAGATATGATATAGAACAGTTTGATTTCTTAATAAAATTGAAGATTCTGATGCATCAATAAGGATACTACTATTACTAGTAGTAGTAAACGACCGTCGGAATTAGAAATAAGCAATTGTGTATTTAAGTAAATGAATAAGAAATTTATGATTTGTAGGAACTAGAGTCAAATCCAATTGGTTCAAATTAAAATTATGGTTAAAAAGAAACATAGAAGAGATAGTTCATTTGTATTCGTTGTTTTAATCCTCTTGACGATGTTTAGGGCTACAATAGACCATTCATCTCTGCTTATAATGATTGTAACTTGATGGCAATATCAAGGCAATCCACACAGTATGCACATAGGCGAAAAAGTGACTTATCATTTTCAGTGCTAAACATCAATGGGAAGATTCAAACAACCAATATAAATAAATTAAACTTCATTGCATTGCACAAGGTAGTAGCTATCTGAACTCAGTAGCTAAGTGAATAACGCGATGACGTTTGAAATGACCAGTGCTGGGTTCGAGTCATGGAGTTTACATCTACTCCGGTAATCAGGCACATCTAGCCTACGAGTCCCAAATAGGATAGATATGATATAAGATTTCTTATTTGTATGTCTCTGCTTAATAATTTAATATTTGTTTATTTAAATATTAATGAAATGAACAGATGAGAATCTTAATAGTGACATGATTACAGGTAGTCATCTGTTGTTCAGCCTGCTTGATCATCTGGGCTACCTGTTCCTGCCATCTAGATATTTCAACAAGTTATCTATTTTTGTTTGTTTTAATGTATCATTATGTTTATTAATCGCACAACCTATTCTGCTGCGTTTCTGAAAAGTGTACAACCTTTCGTTGTCAAAGTTACAGAAAACTCAATAAGAGACAATATGGTTGCTGGCAATGTACAACGAAAAGAATGTACATTATTCAGTTGTTCATTCACTGAAGTGCTAACATCTAACTGGCGATTCCTCAATATTTATCGCCAGGACCGACCAAGAAGAAAGAAACGGAAACTTGTTGAAATACTTTACGCTGAGAATTCTATACTGTACCAAAAATATAATATTGAATAAAGCTGATAATAATAATAAATAATAATAATAATAATATATATTTTACGTAATAAAAATATGCTTGAATGAAATTAATTTTAAACGATTTTTGTAATTAGTTGATAAATTCTTTCGAAATGGATCGGCATGATTTCGAAATTTATATAGAATTGTAGAATATCGAATAACCGTCTCGTTAAAACTTGAGAGTCCTCAAAAATGTGTTCATTCATGGCTACCTATAATGTCACGTTTAGTGCCTTTATATGTTTCAGCAATCACTACGTGTTTAAATCGTTAAATCTGAATCCAGTGTTGGAAAGTGTCAGTCTAAACCTTTTTTCTTTGTATGAAAAAATGTCTTAGGATTAAAAAAATATAAAATATATTTGTTTTATAGAACCGATATACTATGTCTAGCAGTCGTATCCAGGACACCTGTTTTGTCCTGCCTGGGACTCATCATCTGGATACACTTATAGTTTAATGTTGATGTTAATATCGGTATTCAAACTCAGTGTATTTCGCTTTAAACACCAAGACATTATCTATTGAGACACTGAGTTCAATCAAAGCTAGTGGAATGTTTAGTTTGTGTATTTTGGGTCTGCCGTAGAATCGAGGGAGTACTGAGCACTGAGTTCAAACAATCGCTAACATATTCAATAGATATGATGTTATGTATTATTATTATTATCGTTTTTATTCCACTCTCATACATTAATTCCTGTTCATTACTATTCTTTTTTATTATACACACTTTATATTCTCTATCTCTTCACAACCTCATTGTTATTTTGTGGCGCATATGATGCCCCCCTATACCAACGCTTATATGTTCAAATAAATATATATAAATAATTCTTTGATTGTAAATTTGGTACAAACTAACAAATTAATAAAATAATTTTATGCAATTAACTATAAATTATCTTTAAGTATGTCGTTCAAATGATGACGGAAACGAAGTAGTTTTGATAATTGTAATTTTCATAATAATTTAAATTACTTCCGTTCATAGTTCTTCTGAATGTTTTCATTGGTGAATTGATTCAATTCAATAAGTTTATGGTTTAGATCATGAATTAATTGATGTTAGACCACCGTTGGAAACCTGGAAGCACTGGACGGCCGTTTCGTCCTAGTATGGGACTCCTCAGCAGTGCGCATCCACGATCCCGCACCCCGCGGGATTCGAACCCAGGACCTACTGGTTTCGCACCTGAGCGGGGTGCGGGATCGTGGATGCGCACTGCTGAGGAGTCCCATACTAGGACGAAACGGCCGTCCAGTGCTTCCAGGTTTCCAACGGTGGTCTAACATCAATTAATTCATGATCTCAACCAAAAACTTAACAATCTCCAGAACCCCCATACTAATCAATAAGTTTAATTAGAATTCTTTATTCTAACAAATTTCTTTCATACATTTTCTAAAGCAAAACTAACGAAGATTTTGAACATATTAGTTAGATCATTCTGTTTGTTGGTAACAAAAGAGATGGTCTCTCAACGTATATTTGACGATAAGTCGTAATAGATAGATATTATTGAGTTTTTAATTGGAGATGCGACTATTTAACTTCCATCTTTCAATAGCAACCATTTTTGACAGCAAGTATAATGTAGGGGAAAAATCGATCAGTTTTCCTCTTGATTGACTAAATGATAGTTTAAATGTATGTTAGATATTCTTAGGAAATGATGAAGTTGATAACTCACTCACTATGACAGTGTTAGAATAAAGCAATAAAAAGATCACACAATAGTAACAAAAGAAAAGCATACATAATTCGAGTTTGTTCAAACCATGTTGTAAGATGATTGGAACAGTGAATTGAAATTTAATTTCTAAGTAGAGTTGTTGGTAAATCCAGAACAATGAATTTTTAAACTGCTAATAGCAATGCTGTCAAGGATGAAACCGACTCGTGATGGACTCATTAAAGAACCTAACGCTATACAGTCTGTCTAGAGATATTGCTCATCATTACAGCTAAACTGTTTATCTATTGTGCATTTCAGTATAAGTCGTTTTAAGTAAACATTGAGCATCGTCTCTCAGGGGATGCCTAATGATGATATCCCATTAATATTGATATAGTTCCAATTAAAACCTATTGTCTCTTATTAACGATACATTCGTAAATAACCAACTATCATCTCATAAAGTTTTCATCTTATTGAAAACGTCTACATTACTTACAAACTTGTCTAAGAATTGACTCACTTTTGTGAGTTATCCACTTTTCAATCGAGTAGTACGGTAATCCAGCCACATCTCGAATAGGATGATTAGCTAATCTATTCTTATATACTTTAGATAAGTTGTATAGTCTAGATATTCTAGAAGCTGATAATTTTAGACTTCTTTTTAATTACTCAGATTTTATTGCAAATTACTTTTTAATCTATTAAGTATTTTTTTTTCTCTATTGCTTTCTTTATTAGACTGTGAAAAAGTACTAACATCCTGTAATGTATCCTTTATTTTATCTATATAGTTTTACTAATCAAGTACTAATAATCCTGTTCATTTATCTGGACAAGTTATTAAAATATTTTGATTCTCTCTATTAAGTTTTAGTTATTGAATGTTTTTTTAGATAAATCAGTCTTACTTTCATAAACTGATAAGTGCATTTGAACACTGTTGATTTTAAGTATTTTAGTTCGAATTATAGAATATGAACTCCTAGATAGCGTTGTTATTAACATTCTTAGAATGACCAGTAATAAAATCTTTTAGTATAGATGTGTTGATGACACAACCGTAATGTGCAATAAAACCTTCGGTATTTATGACACTCTTACATAGTGTTTAATTGATTTAGCGATACCCCTTCATTTGGCCTCAGTTTAAGTTATGTTACTATGACATATTATTAGTATCAGCCTTTATTTAAAGAATATTCACCCATTTTATTTTTTCCGCACATAAAAATCGATATTTATAAATATTATGTCTTTGGTAGATACATATATAT